AAGTATATTTACATTTCTGGAAGGATGGCTACTGGGGAATGCGCCTGAGAGGGAGATGTACGTATGTCTTAACATGTCGATGCATAACTTTGATCAAAATTAAAACGTTTAACTTGTAAAGGAAATGAACGCCATATCCTGCTGCCCTCCTCCTCGAGCCCGCTCCTGCAGCCGCAGCCCCGCCAGCCGCCTTGGGCCCAGTCGCCCCAGCCCCGCGGTTGCCAAGGTAAACATGAGGGTGGCGGTTACCAGCGCGCTGACAGGCGAGTGCCTAGCAACCGGGGTGCGCAACAGAGGAGCTGGCGGCAGTCTGAGCTGGGAAGGAGGTGAGAGGCTAGGGGAGCTGGGGCGCTGTGAGGACTCACACCCAGGCTCAAGCTCCCTCCCTTCCTCCCTCCTCCTTCTTTCTCTGCGCCGCCGCCGGGGTATTAATTTAAACCAAAAAGGATTATCCTGGGGAAGGGAGTGGAGGGGTGCGCCTGGGAACTAGACAGAGCCCGGCTGCTCCTCCTCCAACAGGGGCTGAGGGAGGGAGTATGATGACCAGGTGGGGAGGGGACCAGCGCATACCCCCTCCAAAAAAAAACACAACTCCCCTGTGCCAGCCCACAACCCTTGCAAAACTAGCCCGCCCTCTCTGGATGGAGAACAGGGCTCTTTTTCTTAGAAGCAGGTTCTGAGCACAGCTGGGGCGGAGAAAGAAAAGAAAGCGCCACAGGACTTGATTGCTGGGAGTAGGGATGGAAACTGGATTAAGGACTATTATTCCTGCTAAACCCCACCCACCCACCAGCCCCACTAAGCACTTGGCAGCACACACACCCTCCAGGACCTGCAGGGTCCAGGAGTGTGTGTCTGTGGATGGATGAGTGGGAGGAAACTTAGTTAATGCCTCAAAGTTGAGCAAATCGAGAGCTGTTCCCAAGCAGGCTTCCTGCAGCAAGGGTTTGGGAGCAAAATGGACAGGAGAAGGTCCTTTGGGGGGAGTTTTTTTATTTTATAGCAAAGGTGGAAATTTATTGAAGAACAAGTACAGACTCCCACGTGGGGAGGCGGAAAGAGTCCCTGGAGGGAGCTTTTGATCTAGGAGAGGACTGACTGAACCGTCTCCCGCAGCCTTGCTTGTCCTCTCCAGCCGAGGTGGGTGTCTTGGAACAGGCCTAGGGGCTCAGCACCATGGCCACGCTGAGCGTCAAGCCCAGCCAACGCTTCCAGTTGCAGGACTGGCATACCAACAGCTACCTGTTGTCCACCAACGCTGAGCGGCAGCGAGATGCGTCACACCAGATCCGCCAGGAGGCCCGGATCCTCCGCAATGAGACCAACAACCAGGTTGGGAGCGGGAGCTCAGGTGGGCAAAGGGATAGCCCCTGTCCCCAAACACCCTCTTTATCTGGCTCTGTCTCTTCCAGACCATTTGGGATGAACACGACAATAGGACTCGACTGGAAGAGAGAGTTGATACAGTCAACCGATGGAAGGAGATGCTGGACAAGTGTCTGACGGATTTAGATGCAGAGATCGACGCCCTGACACAGGCAGGGAGCTAGGGCAGGGTGCCAGGAGACCCAGCCGCAAGGACCTCCCCTCCCTCCCCACTTGGAGGTCAGGGAACCCTTCATGGGGTATTTAGTGACCTGTCCACCTGAGTCACTCACTGGCCCCTCTATTAACGTGGGAGTGAGCGCTGCTTCTCGGGGAATGGCCCAGCAGCCTCCTGTGCCTTCTCTGTTCCAGATGAAAGAGTCAGCAGAGAAAAACCTGCAGGCCAAGAACCTGCCCCTGGATGTGGCAATCCAGTGCCTGACCCTGCGGGACAGTCGGCGGGACATAGACGTGGTGAGGGACCCTGTGGAGGAAGAGCTGCACAAGGAGGTGGAAGTCATTGATGCCACCAGGAAGGCCTTGCAACAGAAGATCAGCCAGACGTTTGAGAAGCTCTGGTAAGGGAGAGGCGTCATTCTCAAGCTCACCTGCACTTGAAGGCTGTGTGTCCTGAGTAGAATATTTGTACTGTGGATGACCAGCAGCTGGCTCTCCGGCTGCCTTCGGTCCCTGCTGTGCCCATGCCAAACACCACTAACCGATGACACCACTTTTTCCTCTGCCTCGACACCGTCTCAGAAGACTGCTCTGGGGAGCCATTGTCGATTGATGGGAAGCATGGGAGATGAAGCCCGTTTGCCACCACCCCTGACTGAGTACCCTATTGTGTGTATGTGTGAGCCTTTGTGAGTGTAACTAATACGTGTGCCCTTGTGGTTGTGTGTGAGCACGTGAGGGTCACAATTTTGTCTGTGAGGAGCTTATCCAACTATGCTGGCCTTTGTCTCCGCTGCAGCGGCAGCAGCTCCATTGTCACTCCAGCCTCCCCATCCCTCGGGGGCCCTGGAGCACAATGGGGGCTAAGTCCTTGGGGCCGTGGAGGGATGGAGCTTGAGCTAGTCTGTTCCTGCCCCAGCCTCCTGCAGGAAATCCGACAGCAGCTCAACTCTGACCATCGGGGCAAAATGGAGACATTGGACATTGACAGAGGTTGCCTCTCTCTCAACCTCAAGTCCCCAAACATCTCTCTGAAGATTAATCCCGCGCGTGTCCCCGATGGGTAAGAAGTGTTTCAGTCTCTCCTCCCCTCACCCCACAGTGGCCATACTCTTATGACCCCCGTATCTCCTGCCACCTGCAGCTCCTCATCACTTCAAGAGTGGGATGAATTTAGTCGGTTCAACAAGAACCGGGCGGAGGCTGAGATGAAAGAAGCCACAGACCTGAGGGAGGCCATCGCCCTCACTATTGCTGAGGTAACTGACCACTCCCCTGACCCTGCTCTTCCATGGCTAATGGATGGCCCAAGTAGGCACTCAAGCCTTTAGCTTTAAAAAAAAAAAAAAAAATATATATATATATATATATATATATATATATATATTATTAATTTCAGAGAGGAAGGGAGAGGGAGAGAGATAGAAACATTAATGATGAGAGAGAATCATTGATTGGCTGCCTCCTGCACGCCCCCTACTGGGGATCGAGCCCACAACCCGGGCATGTGCCCTTGACCGGAATTGAACTTGGGACCCGTTAGTCCGCAGGCCGATGCTCTATCCACTGAGCCAAACCGGCTGGGGCAAGCCTTTAGCTTTTGTTCCCTGTTGGCCATTGGCATCCCAACCCTTCACTTGAGGAACATCCTTAAGATGGTCATGAACTTATACCCTGTCTTGCCCGGCCCACATCTTGTCCTTCAGACCAACAATGAACTGGAAGCCCAGAGGGTGGCAACGGAATTTGCCTTCAGAAAGCGGCTGCGGGAGATGGAGAAATTATACAGTGAGCTCAAGTGGCAAGAGAAGAACGTGAGCCTTCTCATTAGTCTCCTGGGCTTGGACTTCCTGCTGTGGGAGGAGTCCACTGTCGGTCCAGCAAGCCCTGGGTGCACCGTGGTGGGTTCAGCCACTGGAGACCACTCACTCTGTCCCCTGTAGACCTTGCAGGAGATCGCTGACCTGCAGGAGGACATCCGGCACCTGGAGGAAGATCTGCGCAGGAAGATCCTGAACCTGAAGCTATGCCATACTCGGCTCGAGTCCAGAACCTACCGGCCCAATGTGGAACTCTGCCGGGACCAGGTGGGAGGGTACCCCAGTGGGGCACTGCCCCCTCCCCTCCCGCTAAAGTCTCCTCAGGATCACTCACTCCCCAGCACATATTCCTGGTGGAGCAGGGGTGCCCAGGCCCGTGGGCTAAAGGCTAGTATGGCTGACTCCCAACCCTCACCTCTGCTTCCAGGCACAGTATGGCCTCACCGACGAGGTTCACCAGTTAGAGGCAACCATTGCTGCCCTGAGGCAGAAGTTGGCACAAGCACAGTAGGTTTGGGGAGTGGACCGGAGGGGCAGGGAGACACCTCTCACCCATGGGGCTTCTTGCTGCCTGCTGGCTTCCCCGCTGGCTCCCTTCACCTTCTGCCTCGTGCAGGGGTGGTGGGTTGTTAATGCCTCCTCCCCAGGGATGCTCTGGATGCCCTGTGCAAGCACCTGGCCCGGCTGCAGGCTGACATCGCCTGCAAGGCCAACTCCATGCTGTTGGACACCAAGTGCATGGACACTCGCCGGAAACTGACGGTGCCAGCCGAGAAGTTTGTGCCCGAGGTGGACACCTTCAACCGCACCACAAACCGTACCCTGAGTCCACTCAAAAGCTGCCAGCTGCAGCTAGCCTAGCCTTGGAGGCTGAGGAGGGAGGGGGTGGTTAGGAGGGAAATGGAAGAGGAAGGGGGTGGAGAGAATGAATCTAATAAATGTCGGGTTTCTCAGTCTTCTAGAAGGTTTTCTGCTACCCCCTGCATGCAACCAGCGGAGAGTGAGAAGGCTCTTGGCCCTCCTGTGAATGGAGAGGCATAAACGGGGACCATCATCCCCCAAGCTCCATGTTCCAAATCCGATTCCTTCTCCCTCTTGAGGGACCCCTCTCAGGGGTAGGCCAGCACCCCCTGGGCTCCAAAGGCATGATTTCGAACCAGCCCAGCCCCAGCAGGACCCTTAGCTGCCCTCTTGTTGCCTAGGGAAGGCCCAGAGAAGGCTATGATCACAGTGAGAGTCGGGGACCAAGAACTGGGGCTGCCGTCGTTAGAGAGCTGGGGTGACGGGGCAAAGAAAGAGGCTTCATAAAGGCAGGACCCGGGTGGCAGTGGCCTGAAGGGCAGGGCTACCGCGGTCCGATAGTCCCCTCCTGGATTCTTTAGTGGCCGTCCCGCCCGGCGTGACACCGGTTACAGATGGGGAGAACGAGGCCTAAAAGCAGAGGCCTGGTGGGCTCCAACCAGCCTTGCAGGACCTAACCTGGTCCCACGCACGCGGAGCTGCACCTCCGGGCCGCTGGGTGGCGCTGTGGGTCGCAAGCGGCGCCGCGACTCAGAGCCACGAGGGGGCGCTGTGGGGCTGGGGCGCGAAGCAGCCGGGGGTGGGGGGAAGCGCGGGGAGGCGCGCGCGGGCCGCACCGGAAGTGGTGGCGGGCCCGTGCGGATGGCGGCGGCGGCGGCGATGGCTGCAGCGAGCTGCGGAGGGGCTGGGGCGGCCCGCTCCCTCTCCCGCTTCCGAGGTTGCCTGGCGGGCGCGCTGCTCGGGGACTGCGTGGGCGCCATCTACGAGGCGCAGGACACCGTCAGCCTGACGTCAGTGCTGCGTCACGTCCAGAGCCTGGAGCCCGACCCCGGCTCGGCGGGCAGCGCGCGGACAGGTGGGCGGGGCCGGGCGCTCCAGGGACTCGGGCGGCGGGGCTCCCGGGAGCGACGCGGGGCGGTGGGAGCGCGGCCGGGAGAGGGCGTGTGGGGAGATGCGGCCCCGCAGGGCGGACCTGGGACCGGCACGGCCCGCTCGGGCACCTCGGGCTCAGCCTGGCTAAAGCCGAGCTCCGTCCGCACGCCTCTCGCCCGAACCTCTCCCGACTCGGGCGTGGCAACACCCTCCTCCGAGGCGCGCCGCCGGAACCCTAAGTCGCGCTGGTCCGGCACAGACACCCTCTCGATGTTTCCTGCCTCAACCCAGCTCTCAAACCAGTGCCCCCCAGTCCTCTCTCCACACCGCGGCGAGTGCTCTTCCCAACACGGAGACCTAATGGCGGCCTCCTCGCAGGAAGCTCTGCAGTGGTTTTCCGTTGCCCGTAGGCTAGAGCTCAGTCCGGCAGCGTGTCCGTCTCGTTTCATCTGACACCGCCGCACCTGCCTTCTGTGCTGCGCCCCTCGCACATCTGCCCCCTTTAGCCCGGTCTGTGCCGGCGGCGCCCCTCGCACATCTGCCCCCTTTAGCCCGGTCTGTGCCAGCGGCGCCCCTCGCACATCTGCCCCCTTTAGCCCGGTCTGTGCCGGCGGCGCCCCTCGCACATCTGCCCCCTTTAGCCCGGTCTGTGCCAGCGGCGCCCCTCGCCCCTACTAGTCTAGGCGCCCCCACAACCCAGCCTCCCGCCCCCTGTGCAGTCAGCTCCTCACCCAGATCTCAGCTCAGGATCACGGCTGAGGTCAAGCAGTGGGTGATTCTTCCTGGAGAACATGCAGTACAGCAAGGAAAGGGGCTAGAGAAGCAGTTTGATGGGAGGAGAAGTAGGGGGCATGGGTATCAACAAAACCTGAGAACATTTCAAGGTGAAGATGCTGGTCACTGGTCTGCTACAGAGACGTTAAGGCGAGGGAAGTCCGGATTTAGAAAAGCATTTTCAGTAGAAGGTTGAAGCCTGGAAGTTAGATTCCAGTGGGTTTAGGAGGAAATGGAAAATGAGAAAATAGAGTATGATTTGCTACAAAGGGAAGGAGAGAGATGAGGTGAAGACAAGATGTAGGGACCGTTTTTTTGTTTTGTTTTTGTATTTTTTTATTGATTTCAGAGAGGAAGGGAAGAGGGAGAGAGAGAAACATCAATGATGAGAGAGAATCATTGATCGGCTGCCTCCTCCACGCCCCATCCTGGGGGTGGAGCCCTCAACCCCTGGCATGTGCCCTGACTGGGAATCAAACCTCGACCTCCTGGTTCTTAGGTTGATGCTCAACCGTTGAGCCACGCCGGCCGGGCTTAACCAATTCTTCAAATGAAACCAAGTCCCTAGCCCCTTTTTGGCCTATTTGCTAAGTCACCACATAAACAATGGTGCTGTGTTGAAAATGCCAGAGCAGGACTCCTGGGCACCCAGAGGAGGGAGTGAGGGTGGGAGGAGGGAGGGAAGCAGTCCCAGCTGGGATGGATTTGACCCAGGCTCCAAGACTGATCCTGGGAACATGTAGGGGAATGGGAGGACATGAGATGAGTGAGGAGGGGAGGGCTTTGAATGCCACAGCGGTGAATTTGGGCCTCATCCTGAAGGCAACCAATAGCCATTTTGAGTAGGAGAGTGAGATAAGGAAAGTGACAGTCTAGTATTAAGAAGAATCATCTGGCTGCACATGTAGGATGGGTTGCAGGGTGGGAAATGTGCAGGAAATGTGAGAGGCCCAAGTGGGTCATTTTAAGACTAGAGCTGCAGGTCCTGGCCAGGTAGCCCAGTGTCAGTCTGACACACCAAGGTTGCAGTTCGATCCCGGGTCAGGGCACATACAAGAATCAACCAATGGATGCATCAATAAGTGGAACAACAAATCGCTCTCTCTCAAATCAATAAAAAATAAAATAGAAATAAAATACATTAATAGGGGGGGAAAGAGTAGCGCTGCCCTAGCCAGTTTGACTCAGTGGCTAGAGCGTCCGCCTGTGGACTGAAAGGTCCAGGTTCGATTCTGGTCAAGGGCACAAGCCCGGGTTGCGGCCTCAATCCCCAGTGAGGGGTGGGAAGGAGGCAGCCAGTCAATGATTCTCTCTCATCATTGATGTTTCTCTCCCTCTCCCTCTCTGAAATCAATAAAAATATATTAAATAATTTTTTTTAAAAAGAGTAGGCTGCAGTGATGGCAGCCAGAGGGGGTGGAAGGATTTCCTTCAGAAAAGAGCAGGACATGGTCACTGTCTCAGAACAAAGAATTGCTGAAAACCCCACGACCTGGAGCTGAGGAAGCTGGGTGGAGGGAGCGGCTGACTTGGGCATCTGGAAGTGGTGCATGAAGGGAATGAGCGGAGGCCAAAGCTGCCGCCTTGAGCTCTGCAGCCCGCCCTCCCCCCACCTGTCCCCGCAGAAGCTTTGTACTACACAGATGACACCGCCATGGCCAGGGCCCTCGTGCAGTCCCTGCTGTCCAAGGAGGCTTTCGACGAGGTAGACATGGCTCACAGGTGAGCGGAATGGTCCTGGGGTGAGGCGAACCAGGGGGGCCGAGTTACTGCTCCCCTGGACCAGAGCAGTGATGCCATGCATGCTGGGACCCCCACCCTCAGCAGGGCCACTGCAGCTTCGGGAGCCAGAAATGTCCTCACTGCTGCTACAGGCTCCCGAGGTCCCCAGGGCTTCTGCAGCTCCCAACCAGCCGGATTTCTCTCCCAACCCTGACAGGCACCTGTGAAGCCTCATCCCGTGTCCCTTCCATTCCTAGATTTGCTCAGGAGTACAAAAAAGACCCTGACCGGGGTTACGGAGCTGGAGTAATCACCGTTTTCAAGAAGCTCCTGAGTCCCAAGTGCCGTGACGTCTATGAGCCTGCTCGGGCCCAGTTCAACGGGAAGGGCTCCTACGGCAACGGGGGCGCCATGCGGGTGGCTGGCATCTCCCTGGCCTACAGCAGCGTCCAGGATGTGCAGAAGGTAGTCTGGGCAGCGGGCTTCTGGGCTGTCCCCTCTCTCCCCCACCCCCCTCTTCTCTGGGTTCTGTGACAGCAGGTCTTAGCCTCCACTGCCCTTGCCCTAGTTCGCCCGGCTCTCGGCCCAGCTGACACACGCCTCCTCCCTGGGCTACAACGGTGCCATCCTGCAGGCCCTGGCTGTGCACCTGGCTTTGCAGGGGGAGTCGTCCAGTGAGCACTTTCTCAAACAACTCCTGGGCCACATGGAAGAGCTGGAGAGTGATGCCCAGTCCATCTCGGATGCCAGGGAGTGAGTATGTGGCATGGAGGCGGCTGGAGGTGTTTGCGAGTGTGCATGCCTATGGGGTGGGTTCCTCTGGTGTTGCCACAGCTGAGCCCTTCCTTCTGTAACTGCAGACCCTAGGGAGGGGTGGGAGAGTCCTTTGGCTGGGGCTGGGCTTCAAGCAAGGCTCAGGGTCATACCCAGCCCCCTCCCACTTGTTAGGACACCTGGGCCTGGGTGTCAGCCTGACCATGTCCCGCCTCCCCCTCCCCCACAAACCCTCCCCCTCCCTCACAACCCTCTCCCTCCCTCACAACCCCTCCCCCTCCCTCACAAATCTTCCCCCATGCCTTGCTCCAACCTCCCTGCATCTTGCCGCGCCCCCCCCCCCCCCCGCCCCCGCCCGGACCCACAGGTTGGGCATGGAGGAGCATCCGTACTCCAGCCGACTGAAGAAGATCGGAGAGCTTCTAGAGCAGGACGCGGTGACCAGAGAGGAGGTGGTGTCTGAGCTGGGTGGGTAGTCCCCACACCCACCCGTCATCCTTAGGGACAGGCTTGGGCTCAGGATGGGAGGGGAGCAAGGAGTCAGACCTGCCATCACATTTTGCCCGGGGCTGCTGTGACAGCAGAGCCAGCTCTGCAGGGTCCTTGGCAGGTTTTGAGTGAGTTTAGTGCCTTCTTGCTCTGGGGCTGCAGCTCCTCCGTCCTCACAGATAAAGATCCCCAGCAATGGCAGCTGGCCGCAGTTCTCACAGCCGCTGCTCACAGCCATTGGTGAGTTAATAGCACGTCCACTGTGTTCCGGGCACTGTGCAGAGTGCTCTGTTTGGTCTCCTTTCACCCTCACGCGAGCCCTGTGAGAGTTCCTAACCTGATTCACTCTGTAGGAGTCAAACCCGAGAGCGCAGTAACCTTGGTCGTTAGGGAACTTTCCCAGTCACCCAGCCAGGGGGTGGGGAGGAGGATTTGAGCCCAGGTAGTCTACCTTAGAGCCTGTGACCTTAGTCACAGCCCAACTTGTAGCTGAGAGTGTTGACTTGTGGCAAGTGGCAGGAAACCTAGGGACATGTGGGGAGCGGGGGTGTCAAATCCCCATCATCTGGTGTCCCCACAGGGAATGGCATTGCCGCCTTTGAATCTGTGCCCACCGCCATCTACTGCTTCCTGCGCTGCATGGAGCCCGACCCCGAGATCCCCTCTACCTTCAATAGCCTCCAAAGGACTCTCATCTATTCCATCTCACTGGGTGGGGACACAGACACCATTGCCACCATGGCTGGGGCCATTGCTGGCGCCTACTATGGGATGGAACAGGTGACAGAAAGCTGGCAGCAGAGCTGTGAGGGCTATGAGGAGACCGACATCCTGGCCCAGAGCCTGCACCGGGTCTTCCAGAAGAGTCTGTGAGGGCCCCAGCTGCTGGGGCTCCGCCGTGTCCAGTGGGGCCAGCGACAGCTCAGGCTGGAAACCCTGCGCTTCTTTGGGCTTTGCCCCCTGCCTCAGTCTTCCTGCAGCCTGGGCACAGGCACCGCTGGGGCCGGGGTCACGGGGGAGGTGACTGGAACGGAGTGAGGGACTGGGGCCTCCCCGTGCTGGTTTCTGGCTTGCTGCAGAGCCTTGGGCACCCCTGGCCCCTCAGACACGAGGAAGCAGGGCAGGTTTATTGGCGGGTACGCGTGGCGTTTTCCTTATTATCTAGGACATGGGATGGGGAGGAAATGGTCTGCAGTAGCATCCGTTCTCCTCGTTGGGATTTAGTCAATTTGCCAGAAAGCCTGTCGTTGACTGGGCAGGACTGAGAGCAGCAGGTTTCCATGGATCCAGGAGATGCAGTTGAATCTAGCTGATCTCCATACACACCTGGCCCTGGGCGGTCTCAGGCTTGTTAACAGCTTCCAGCGGAAGCCACAGAGCAATAAACAGTTTTCGGTAAATCCCACCGGTTTCCTCTGTTTCTCCTCTGCCCTGAATGCATTCTCCCCCCTTGACCTTTAGTGTCCAGGGCCTCTCTGGGCTGTGCTCTCCTAAGAGCTAGGACCCCAAGGTGACGGGCGGCTGGGTTGTCAAGGCAAATTCCTGCAGTGTTGTTCACCCAGGACGGGCAGAGCAGTCATGGTTTGGTGCCACTTCCTGTTGGAGGTCGCTCAGAGTGACCCTGGCAGGGGGCAGAAACAAGCCAGATTTTCTTGCTCTCAAAGCCTGGCTTCATAGTTTGCTCCCAGGTAGGCCCCGGCCCAGCCAGGCCAAAAACTAGAGCCCTGGCGGGGGAGCGGAGGGGACCTCCTATCACCGGACTGCCAGCCTGTGGTGGGGAGGTGCATCGTCCCAGGTGCTCTGGGTGGACTGGAAGCTGTGCCTCGTCTTCCTCCTGGGCCCCAGACACAGGCCTCGCCTGTTAGGAAGTCCTGCACACTCGCCATTTCAAAGAAAGGAGAATAGAGAGGGAGGAGACCCCTCCATCACACATCAGGGACGTTCTCTGAGCATCCTGCCAGCCCCGGGGAGGTGCATGCCCTCTGCAGGTAGCCCGAGGTTTCAGGACTAATGGGCGGGTCTGCTCTCAGCCCAGAGAGTGCTCTGCCAGGCTGGGCAAACCCCAGGGCTTCACAGGGCAGGCATTGGTCTCAGACGTGCCATCCCAATCCCCACAGCTGGGACAGATCCCTCGCTGCCAGGCATGGTGAGCTGTGGGACAGGTGCTCTCTGCCCAGGACAGCTCCACTGGCCCTGCTATAAGCACTGGCCTGGCACTAGCCCCGCCCACAAGAGCAGTTTCATGATTTCATTCATAATTTGTATCAGATGTTGAAACTTGGCCCTTGGGGTCCTGAGCCAGCTGTCATGCTCCACTACCCCTGAGAGCTTGCAGGAATGTTCCAGGGAAGCTCGATCCGTCTCCCCCAGCCCCAGCCACTGCTTACTTTGGTTTCTTAAAATGCTTCTTGGCGTTTACTTGTTGCACAACCTCGGCAGCTTAAGAGCGTGGAGCGTCTCTGATGTGGTGACAGAAACCATGCTGGCAGTTCCCTGGGTGCCCGGTGAATCCAGTCTGAGCCCCCTCTGCGTCAATGCCAGGCCCAGCGCGTGCTGTTTTTACACAACAGGTTTTATTGAGGCTGTGTCGACACAGTCAGTACCGTTGTTTTTCTTTTCAAAAAGAAGTCCCATTTTCTTAGATTCCCAAGTGCATTTTTTCTGAATCTTCTGTGACACAGGGCACTTAATAGGAATGTAGAGAACTAAGCTGCTTCTACCAGGTTAGAAATGAAATTACTAATGGAAAATACTTAAACCTTAACCTTAAAAAAAGTGAGGAATCAGAATATAAAAATGCACAAGGTAATGCAGTTTTCATTGTTAAAATCTGACATCATTTATCAAAGCTAGCCAGTTAAGTCGACAGCACCTGGAACATAACACTTCGAAGCACCGGCCACCCCTTTCAAAGGCTTCAGGAGTGACTTTTAGCAGAAACTCTTTTGTGAAACAGCCTTTTTGGCTCCCCCGTATCCTCCTTTGAGCCCTGGGTTCTCACTGGGAGATGTGGAATTTCTGCCCGTGGGAAGCCCTCCCCAACGGGTCTGATGGTGGCTGTGACCCAGGAAGGGGCTGAGCAGAAGGCCCACCAGGTCCGGTTTGAGACGGCCCTCCTGGGTGTTGGGGAGTGAGAACCCCACTGTGAGCCCCTGCCAAAACCTGTTCTTAATGTGTCACTTGGGCAGATTTGGTTTTCCTTTTTCCTTTTGAAAGTTAGCATGAGCAGTCACATGGTCGGCTTTGTTGGGAGAAGTTGGTGGGAAGAGGACTGGTGAGGGGCCTGCGGGAGCCACAGCTCAGCGAGTCAAAAGTCAGCCGTCACCCTCCGTTCTCAACACGGACATTCTGACCCCGCCAGGCCCAGCAGTGCAACCAGGTCAGGATGACTGACCCAGGCTCACACTTGGTCTGGTGGGGGTGCTGGGGGCGGGGGGGGGGGTGGCTGGCTTGGGGAGGTCTGATGGAGAGGCCCCAAGCCACTGGGAGAGTGGCTATCCCTGCATGGGCAAGTGTCCACCTTCCCTGCCCCAGCACGAATCCCAACTTTATCCGCTCAGCTCAGAACTAGGCGCTGCGGGGAGGGGCGGGGATCCTGCCTGTTTCCTGCAGGGGAGCTCTGATTGGGGAAAACGGCAGAAACATCCAGAGCCAACTCATTCCAAAGGGGCCTGTTGGCACCCCTTTTCCCAGAGCCTCAGCCTCCTGGGCCCTAATCCTGCTTAGAACAGGAAATTGGAACCAGAGGTGGGAGGAGAGGAAGCCCCCGCAGATTAACCCCTTTAGTGGACACACACATACATGTGGTTTTTATTAAGGAAAAGCAGGCAGAGTCTTCATGCCTGAGCTTGTGTGCACCTTGTTCTGAGGGCTAAACGAGAGGCTATGCTTTGGGGTCACTTGGGTTGGGGGGGTGGCAAGGATCCCTTACAATTTTGTGAGAAAATCAGCCCTCCCCCCAGGAGGTGAAAGGACTGCCTGTGCCCCTCCCCTCCCCACGGGCCTGGGCAGCGGCCCTCTCACCGAACAGAGCCAGAGCTGGTGGGGGCAGCCCAGGAGATGGAAAGGCATGTGAAGGCTTGCCATCCTGTCCCCGCCCATGCCCCACCCCTCACAAACCACCATTCCCATGGCTGCAGCGGGCACCGTGAGAGGGGGATGGCCCTTCCCAGGAGCCTGCAGAAGGGGCCACACCTCTACATGCCTGATGCCACAGCATCACCCCGGGGATTGCAGTCCTGGCAGGGGGTCCAATGGCCCCCTCCTTCCCTTACCCCTGGAGGGAAACAGACTCTTCAGGGGACCCACCGTCATATGCTGGAGGTCCCAGGGAGCTGGAAGAGCCCCAGCCAATAACAGAGAGGCCATGCCCCTTTCCTTGAGCAGGTACCATCTGGGGGCCAGCAGGAAGGCCAGGGCTTGGGAATATGTCCCCCCGAGGGGATGGATGGGGAGCTCAGTCCCCTCAGCTCTGATGCACAGAGAAGCAGCGTTTCACCACCCAGGAGAGCCCAGGACTCAGGGGGCAGAGTCTCCCACCGCTGGACCGAGTGTCCTGGGGCCCTGCCTGCAGGCCAGGCAGGGCAGGAATGGGATCCCAACCCCGACACTGCACAGACACTGGGGGGAGAGGAGGAACTCAGGCCAGCCTCTTCCAGAAACCACCTCAGCCTGCATGGAGGGAGAAACCAAGTCAGTCTCCTCGGGCCGAGGCCAAGGCCGAGGCCATGGCCGCCTCTGTGCCCACCTCTGTTCAGCCTTTGGTTTTTTCTTTAAATGCAGGTTCTTTGTAACTGAGAAGTTCTCTCTACCACTAAAGAGGAGGAGGCCAGGGCAGCAGCGCCCCTGGGTTATGTGGGGCAGAGCAAGAACCCTGAAAAGGAGGAGTGGATGTACTCGGTGGAGTAGAGGCCATTGGCCTGGTCCGAGGGCATCTGCACCCACACCTGGTCGTTGGGCCGCAGCTGGAGCACAGCGCCGCCAGAGGCCTGGTCCAGGTAGCCTTTCTTGTACTCATCGTAGGTGTAGGTGGCGGGCACGTTGTTCTTGTACAGGGCCACCCACACATTGGTGCCCTTGACATGCACGTGGTAAGCAAAGTAGTAGACCCCACCCACCGGGCAGGTGAAGATGCCGGTAGCCGGGTTGTAGCCACTGTGGCCGTTGTAGAGAGTCCGGTCAAACTTAACAGGCATGCCGGAGGCAGGAAAGGGTGAGGTGAGCACCGCGGTGAAGGCAGGCGTGGCGTGGGCCGACAGCTCTCCCAGCCCAAACTGCGGCTTGCCGCCCTTGCCCAGCACGGCGCCCTCCATGCCACCATTGGGCAGGTGCAGGCCCGCGATGCCAGTCTCATCGAAGGCCCCCGGGGCGCCAGGGGGGCCAGGAGGCCCCGGAGGCCCAGGAGGGCCTGTGAGTCCTGGGGAACCTGGGACCCCAGGGGGGCCTGTTGGCCCAGCCACACCAGGCTCCCCCACTTTCCCCTCTCCAGGGGGCCCTGGCAGGCCTGGTTCACCCTTTAGGCCTGGCAGACCCTGTGGCCCGATAGGGCCAGCTGGGCCCTGGAGTCCTGGTATTCCTGAGGGGCCTCTCAGGCCAGGCTGCCCAGGGAGCCCCAAGTCACCCTTCTGCCCCAGGGCTCCTGCCACCCCTGGTCCCCCAGGGCGACCTGTGAAACCCTGTTCGCCCTTGGGCCCAGTCGGTCCAGGGGGTCCATGGGCCCCTGGAAGCCCCCTCTCTCCTGGGAGCCCAGGTTTCCCAGCCAGCCCATTGGGCCCCTGGTCACCCCGAATGCCAGGCAATCCTGGGGGTCCTCCAGGCCCTGCCTCCCCCTTAGGCCCAGGGAGCCCACGTCTTCCAGGGAGCCCTGCAGACCCTGGGAGTCCAGGGGGCCCCCCAAGGCCTTGTGGGGCCCTGTTCCCCTGGTTCCCCATCCTCACCTGGCTCACCCCTGTCCCCCAAGAAGCCCTGGGGACCCCAGCTTGGCCCTTGTCCCCCTTGGGGCCTGGCAATCCTGGCATCCCATAGCCAGTGGGGCCTATCAGACCAGGGAGGCCCCGGGTCCCTGGTTCCCCTTTGGCCCCTGCTGGGCCCTGTGGCCCTGGCACCCCTGCTGACCCTGGAATCCCCATCCCGTCCATCCCAGGTGGCCCTTTTGGGCCCAAGGCCCCTGGCTCCCCCCTGGGTCCTGGCACCCCGGGAGGGCCAGATGCGCCCTTATCTCCAGGGGCCCCAGGAAGCCCATCCAAACCTGGTTTGCCCAAGCCAGCTGGGCCAGGGAGGCCAGGGGGTCCAGGGGCACCCCCCTGCCCTGGGGCCCCAGGCAACCCTGGCTGGCCCACCCCATTATCCCCCTTGAGACCTCGATCACCTGGAGGCCCAGGTTCCCCCTGGGGCCCTGGCTCCCCCCCAAATCCTGGGGGCCCTGGGACCCCCTGAGGGCCTGGTTTCCCAGGAACAGCAATGCCTGAGGGTCCAGGGAGGCCAGGGGGCCCTGGAGGGCCTCGGAGGCCCTGGTCCCCTCGTATCCCTGGCTCCCCCCGAAGCCCTGGCTGCCCTGGTGGCCCAGCCTTGCCCGGGAGCCCTGGGGGACCAGCCTTGCCCATCCGGGAGAAGCCTGGGGGGCCGGCAGGGCCAGGCTGCCCATGGAGCCCCGGCTTCCCAGTGCCTGGTTTGCCTGGGAAGCCAGGAGGACCAGGGGGCCCCCGAGGCCCGGGTTTCCCAGGGGGGCCAGGCTCTCCTTTCAGATCCATCGGCAGCAGCGGTAGAGGCATTTCTGAGAGAAAGAGAGAGAGAAGGCGCAGTCAGGGGCCTGGTCAGTGGGACCGAGGACCCTTCTACCCACTCCCCCACACCAGCACGGGGTGCGCTGGGAGAAGACAAGGATCTGCATCTGCTCGTGACGACCACGCTCTGCTCTGCCCTTCCCTGCTCTGACAGAAGATGGAGTTTCGGGGGGTCCATTGGCAATCTTGGGGGCGTCAGGGTTTCCTCACCCAGAGCTCCTAGCATCCAACCTACCCCGGTTGGGAGCCTCATTCTTGCATGCCCTGGAGTAGAATGGCCGCCAGGTGGCGCCAGCAGCCCTCCGTAGAGCCGGTCTGCGCAGCATCCCAGCCCACAATCCCCGCCCCTCCTCCGCTACAGACCCCCGCTGCCCGCCAGCATCTCCAGGCCCTCGCGGGTGGGAGGCCCTGGGCCAGCATCAGAAAGAGAGTGGATGGGGCTCTTAGGTGGTGATTGACGGGCTGTGACCTGGGGCGGGAGCGGGGCGGGCGTAGGAGCCTGAGATGGAGGTCGGGAGGCAGGGGGCTGGGGGATCGCCGCCGTCCGAGGCCCTGTGCAGCGGGTGGGGAGGTACTCACCCAGGTACTGGCCCTTGCCCTCGCGGAAGGGCGGCCCCACGGGTCCTTTGTGCATGGGCTGCACGTACTGCACCGGCGCGTATCCCGCTGCCCCTCCGGCCCCGCCGCCGGTGGCCGCCGGGGGCCCGCACCCCAGCACCAGCAGGAGCAGCAGAGGCGGCGGCACCGACAGGGGCGTCAGAGCCCACCGCATGGCGTCTGCGAGCGAGCTGCAGGGAGGAACGGAGGAGGACCATCAAGCCAGCCCCTGGGTGGTTTGGCACCAGGCCCAGGGACTCACAAAAAGCTCAGAAGTTAGATATTATTCACAAGCAATTCCCAAAGTCTCAGAGTCTGCACGAGGCATCTCCTAAACCTCCTTAAGCCAGCCATGGTTCTCCATCCCCACTGGCGTCTCGGGCCCCCTCCCCTGGACAACAGCCTGCCCCCACCAGTCACTCTGCAGCCAGACCCCTTCCAGAGCCACGTGCTGAGACGAGCTCTCCAGAGGCGGGAACTCAATCCCCCACTTTAAACAAGGTATTACTCTTGCCATCTGCATTTTCCAGATCGCAAAACTAGAGCGAAGGCCTCCTGCGAGCAGAACTGGGATTTGCCTTCGAGCTGTCTGACTTCACAGGACGTTGGTGCCCATCGGGGCTCCCCCCTCCTTCAGGATCAAGTCCATGTGCTTAGTATGGCATTCAAGGCTTTTCCCCTCCCCGAGATGGGAATTTTTATTGATAAGCCATGATTTCCTATTGAATACGTAATATAGTACAATTAACAATAGCATAACATTCTAACATTTACACTTTTAACTTTCAGAATCACCCTGATCCATATACAAAGCTTTCGTTTCTGGGAAAATCATGTTTTATTTCAACAGTATTCTTCTCATAGGCAAAACAGTTTCTCAAAATAGGGGGTTTATGACTAACATTTCATAAAGCTTCCTGTGTGAAATGGACACCACATCAGCTGCACCTACTAAAAACCCAAACCTTAAAAGGACCTGGTAGAACCACATCCTACTGAATTACCAAATATCTACATGGACACGAACCCCCTACCACTGACTCAATGCACTGGGCAGAAGGATGATAATTGGTGGCCTAGTGTCAACACGAAATGGATATATATATAATTTCAGAGAGGAAGGGAGTGGGAGAGGGAGCTAGAAACCTCAATGATGAGAGAGAATCACTGATCAGCTACCTCCTGCACACCCCAAACTGGGGATGGAGTCCACAATCCTGGGCATGTGCCCTGACTGGGAATTGAACCTGTGACCTCCTGGTTCATAGGTTGATGCTCAACCACTGAGCCACATTGGCCAGGCAGACTTATTCTTAAATAGGTAGCAACATATCCTATCTAATAAAGATAGAATATGCAAATTGACCATCACTTAGCAACAAAGATGGCAGCACCCAGAGCCAATAAGAAGGGTATATGCAAATTAACGTGACAAAGATGGCGGCTCCGGCCCCGGAGTGAAGGCAGGAGGCGGTGGCCAGAGTGAAGGCCCAGGTCCTGGGTGCTGGAGGGAAACCGGTGCTGGCAGCCAGAGGAAGGAAGGCCTATTCTTGCACGAATCTTCGTGCATCGGGCCTCTAGTCTATATATATAAAACCCTAATATGCAAATAGACCGAACGGCAGAACAACCGAACAACCAGTTGCTATGACTTGTGCTGACCACCAGGGGGCGTGCGCAGACCATTGTGGGTGTCAGCCATGGCGGGATGATGGAGCAGGTGAGCAGGGGCACCAGACCAAGGCGGGGCGCCGGTCACTGTCATGGGGCGAGCCTCTGATAGTTACTGAAAATTCTTTGCTCCCATGTGCCGTGGTCCCGCCAGGCGCTTGCACCTGCTGCTGGTGCCGGCCCCAATGGCTTCGAGCCATCAGCAGGTGCGAGCAGGGCCAGTGCTGTCAGCGCATGGGAGTGGTGGTGGCAGGAGCGGTGGGGGCGGGGCTGCTGGGGGGGGGCGGGGGGCCGCAGTGGGAGAGACCTGGCAGGGGCACGGAGGATGGGCTGAGGCTCGCCCCTGTGTCCACCACAGCCTTGCAGCCCATAGTTCCGTTCAAGGTGCATGATTTGTGCACTGGGCCCCTAGTATATCAATATCATCCCTACTATAGAGGCACACACAAACCAATGTACAAGTCCTTTAAGGGAGAAACTCAGAAACCATCTAGTTTTCCTGTGTTACAATAATTGAAATGAAAATGACCATATTTATGGAACCATGTAATGTGGCACTGTCTTTCGATGAGGCAGATGAAAATATAACTCACTGGCTAGAAATAGTTTTGAAATAAATCTACTCTCACTAATATATGCTTAATTAAAAATGTGTATTTATGGCTTAGTTTCCTCAAGAAAGTAGGATGTAAAGGCCTCATAAATCTAACCTGTGCCTGTGTCTCCAACCCTGTCACCCACTGTGCCTTTCTCTGCTTTTCCCTCCCCCGCCCTCTGCTCTAATAACACAGAACTCCTTGTGGCTCCCAGACACCAGGCAGCCTCACACCTCTAGGCCTTTGCACTTGCTGTTTCTCCGCCTGCGATGTTCTTCCCTCTCCTACTCCTCCTTCAAGGCTGGGGGAAGCTGTCAACCCTTCGTCCATAAAGTCAACCCCTCATCCCTTTATGTCCCGACCGAGCTCTGTCACAGCATCTAGCTCAGCTCCTGGGTGGGGAGAAACAAGGACTCTAGATTGGGACAGCCAGCCTGGTCCTCCTCTCACCAGCTGAGGGGCTTGGCTAGAGCGTTCCGCTCGGTAAACCTGTTTCCTTATCTGTACAAAGGGGTAATGTGTCCACACAAAATGCTGTATGTGAACGTTCATAGCAACATTATTCATAACAGCCATAAGGTAGAAATAACACAGATGTGTCTTAACTGATGAATAGACAAAGTGTGGTACATCCATATGATGGAATATTATGCAGCAATGAAAAGAAATGAAGTACTGACAACATGCTACAATACAGATGAATCTTGAAAATATGCTAATATCAGTCACAAAATCATATTATATAATTTCATTTATACGAAGTGTCCAAAATAGGTAAATCCATAGAGCTAGAAAGTAGATTAGTGGTTGCCTAGGGCAGGGGTAGGGGGTTATGAGGAGAGACTACTAATGGATACATGTTCTAGAATCGATTGTAATGATGGTTGTACAACTCTGTGAATATCCTATATAATAAAACCCTAATATGCAAATCGACCGAACAGTGGAACGACCAGTCGCTATGACAAGCACTGACCACCAAGGGGCAGATGCTCAATGCAGGAGCTGCCTCCTGGTGGTCAGTGCACTCCCACAAGGGGGAGCACCACTCAGCCAGAAGCTGGGCTCATGGCTGGCAAGCACAGCAGCCGTGGCGAGAGCCTCTCCAACCTCCATGGCAGCACTAAGGACCCTGGGGGAAGTGCAGGGAACAGGCCTAGGCTGGCAGTCAGACATCCCCTGAAGGGTCCTGGACTGCAAGAGGTCACAAGCCAGGCTGAGGGACCCCTCCCCCCAGTGCGCGGATGTCATGCACCAGGCCTCTAGTGTGTATATATATATATAGTTTAATATATTTTTATTGATTTCAGAGAGGAAGGAAGAGGGAGAGAGAGATAGAAACATCAATGATGAGAAAGAATCATCGATTGGCTGCCTCCTGCACGCCCCACACTGGGGATCGAGCTTGCAATCCAGGCATGTGCCCTTGGCTGGAATCAAACCTGGGACCCTTCAGTCCACAGGCCGATGCTCTATCCACTGAGCCAAACTGGCTAGGGTATGAATATATTTATAAAAGTCATTAAATCATATACATTAAATGGGTCCGTTATATAATACATGAATCATATCCCAATAAAGATGTCTTTAAACAGACTAACAACCTGCTTCTAGGCTGCTGTGCTGATAGAGATATTGCACAATATTTGAATGGGGGGCAATATGGCATTTTGCACCCAAAGAAAGTCCCATTTCTCCTCAAATGTCTGCTTGGTGCTCCTCTCACCCCACTCAGGGGCCTCTGGGCACCAATGCCTGGCCTCCAGGGGGCGCAGGGGAAGCTTGTGCACACTGGGGTTGCCTGTGGGGAGCAGAACCTCCCTAGTAACTGGGTGCGTCTGGGCCTGCAGTCCCATGTCCCCCTAAACCCAGTCTCACACAGAGCTTTGCAGGCATGAGTGCAGGGCTCTGGAGAAGGTTGGGGGAGCTGCCAACACAGCTCTGGGTTCAAATCCCAGCTCTGCCATCAACCTGTTCTGTAACTTTGGGCAGGTCACACCACCTCCCTGAGCCTCAGCCCGATAGTGATACCACCACTGCCAGGGCGCCCCACGCGCCAGACCCAAGCAGGCTCCATTCAATGGGACCCCCTCAGTGACCCCACCCCCGGGGCTCATGCATTCATGTCCTCGCTTCACAGACCCTGAAACAGAAGCTTAGGTTGCAGAGTCTTGCCCAGGGCCCATGACGGGGAAGGTGTGAGAGCTGAGGCCTCATCCAGAGCCCGCCCTCAGCACGGGCCCTGCTCTAACTGCCACGTGACGGACGCCAGCACTCACGAGGCTGACCGTGCAGGCCCGGCCTCCGGGTCCTGCTGATGGAGGCGCTGGCCAGGCACAGCCTAACAGCCTAACATTTTACATCCCTGCATCCAGCCTGGGAAGCATGCTGGCACCGCTTTAGAGATGAGGGAGACGGTGCAGTCAGGACCTAAACCGGGCAGTCAGCCTTGAGCCCCAGCCCCTAACCACCTTACCATCCCAGCTCTCCTGAGCAGGAAAAGGGGCCTCCTGCACGGGCACCCGAGCTGGGGGCCCCGAGGCGAGGGGGGAGCAGTGCTCACACTCACCGGACCAGAATGGTCTGCGTGGTGCGGGGCCAGGGCTGGAGGAGCAGGTAGCAGGGGCAGGGAATGCAGCAGGAAGCAGGGGGAGGGGAGGGAGCCCTCGGGCCTGAGTGGGCCGGAGGCCAACGTCATAGGAGGACTCAGGACAGCCCTGGCTCTAGGGACAGGAGCCAAGGCCTCGCTGGGAGTGGGGAGTGATGGAAAGGAC